ATGAAGACTCTCCAACAGTACAGGCCCAACGGGCGGGCCAAAATAACAAATCCTCAGATTTTTTGTAAGTACTTAAACTTTGAATCATCCCACTTCATGTTAGTTACGAGAGATTTGAGTAAATATTTAAAAACCAGTAATTTAAAAATTCAAATAGACAAATGATTATGTCTAAATAACTAGCCAACATACTTAGAAAGAACCATAAGGAAATATGACTAATTGGGAATTTAAAGATTTCATAGCACCACCTTATTATAGGTGAATATCTAATGACCTATGTAGGCTTCAGAATATGGCACTGGACTAGAATGTTACTTAAACCTACCGACTCACTTACTCAGAGATAAACTTTATTGGATTAAAGAATTCGAATGACCCAGTAATATAAACTAAGTCACTTCTCTAAATAGCATGTAATAAATGGAGCTAAGTGTATAAGCCCAATGAGCAGAATGAAGTCAGTCAGGTTTTTAGAACCTAGAAGTCTAGCTATGGTCTGTTACGTATTCCAGCAGGACGTTTGCACATTATTATATATGTACTAGTATAAAGTAATCACACAATAAGATGTGACATCACAACAAAAATAAAACGTAATGTAGTCAGCTTGAGAAAGAGGCGAATCATAGAATCTTAGTTCATCGAATCAACGCTCAATACACAACACTAATCTCAAACATATGGAGGAATGTAGCAGAGCAGAACAAGTTAAAAAGTTGTGTAAATACTTTGATATGATGATGAACTATAAATTGTGCTCAAATATATATATATATATATTGATTTGGTAGTGTTTTTTCTCTGAGTTGGTTGATTGAATTACGACGCTTTCATTGTCCTGCTAGACAAGATCTTGAGAGCAAACTTGAATATAAAGTGAACGTGTTTGAATTCTCCATGAATGATATAATTGTATCTCCTGACATTGATTGTTAATTAACATCTTTATTGACTTGGAATTTGAACTTTCTTGTCATCTGGTTTGTTTTTATTAGTTGGTAAATATGATACGTAGTAATGTGTTTGTTAATTGTTGATTTACATGAGCTTCTAGAAATTCTCTGGCAATTTTGGTGTTCCCACTGTATAAAATTTCTACATTTCGCCAATCAAATTGGTGTCCATAGTTCTCTACATGCATAGGTGTAAAAGAGTATTATTACTGTAATTGTTTCCTTGGGTTCTAAGTGCAACATAGGGCTTCATTATCACATCTTCACTTTGTTCTATTTTCTACCGTCCTCTTCAGGCTAACGCCACGGCTGGCTGTTCAGAGCCCCTTATCTCCTCTTCGCATGAACTCTCCTATGTCACCCTCCGGTCCACATCCAACTTGTTGTTTTCTATTGGGTATTCCACTTGAACAACAGCCTAAGCGTGAGAGATGTCATTTGACGATCGCTTCGGAACGTGCTCAATCCATCTCTATTTTCTCCGGAATGATGAGCAATAAGTTTTTAGTTGGTTTGTTTCCGTAGTTTCCTATGTTGTCAATTCTTTTTGGCGTTTTGATCTTCACTATGGAACTGGAGAAGGCAGCTATTGATACAAGTTTGCAATCTGTTGGAAATGCTATGCGTGATGCACATGCCAACTTTCTGACCCACATAAAATGACTGACTGACTGACTGGTGTTGGAAATCCGAATCTTGTTCCTTATGTTGGGTGCAGAAGACTTTTAAACTCATTTCAGAGTGATAAACGTCTTTCTTGACTTTCCTATTCTGGTGGATTTTGATATCTTCATCGGTGCCGCCTGTAGTTGGAACGATGCTTTCTAGATAAGTGGAAGAAACTCGGAGGGTGCATACTGATGAAGCGTCCCACACTAGGACAAAAAAGCTGCCCAGTACTCCTAGGTTTTCCAACGGTTCTCTAAATGATGTCAGCTCACCATGAAATCCTGTAACCAATCAATCAAATCCCTATAAACCAATATTTGAATGACCTCTGTTGAATTTCTTCTGCTGATAGTGATTGATGCTGGTTGTTGTTGTTGTTGGCTGGTTATCTTAATCACTGTCTTCGCTACTTTCTCTACCATTTTGTTGATTTTCGCCTGTAAGTCTTACAGAAAGAGTACCTATCGTGTATTTTCACAGGTAGTTTAGGTTCTAGGATTCGTTGTGAAAGAGGACACCCACTTTGACGAATAAAAGGCTTATGACAACTAGTACAATTTATTTTGTAAATGGTATTGATGATCTTGTCTTCTTTTGCTGTTAGGTTCTTTAGTCTATATAGTACTGAATGAAGTGATTGTGTTTGTTTGTTTGTGTGCTGTATCCATTGTACATGGTTTCATATTTTAGATTTTCTTTCAGAAATGTTCTACATATGTATAAATGGTAGAATGAATTATTTTGTGGTTTCTGATTATGATTTTTCGCTGAAGATGCTGTCTAGAAGAACAGCGAAAGCTTCACAATTAAATCACCCATCTCAGTGAACACAACCATATCAAAATCACCCACTTGAACTACAGATCGTCTCTAATATATATATATATATATATATATTCATTCTTCACTAGCATTCTTCAGCATCAGGTTGTTGACCTGATTAATTTAAAGAATGAGATCGATGTCTTGGCTTCATTTTATATTACAATAACGTTGATTACATTCAAAATGAATGTATGCACTATTAGCCGTATAATTATCAATTTAATGATTATGTCTAATACATTAAGATTAATTCTACAGTAGGTTAGTAACTAATTTATTCATAATATAATAAACAATTTAAAAAAATTAAGCTGTTTTTTTTCTATAAACCATTGATTTTTATTACTTTGCTCCAAATACACCGGTACATGGTAAATGCCATTTGTATTTTTTCATCTATGGCACAGGTTATCCACCAAAGGACGTGTGTAGTTCACAGTGAGTTGCTTCAACCTGCTTTACGACTGCGAGATATGGTCAATGAAAATGTTAGATATGAAAAAAAAAACTAAGAAGGTTTGATCATGGATGTTATCGTTCAATCACGCATACCAGATGCAGCAGTATGGCCGATAGTAATGAGGTTTCAGAAGTCCCTTCCGTCCTCCTTTATGACTGCCTGTGAACAAGACATGGTCATTGAAAGTGTAAGACATGAAAAGGTCAGTTAGCTGTCTTTCATCATGTGTCCGTGTTCTATCTCCCGTGTTAAGTGGTATCATGAGGTGAGCAATATTGAGGTGAAGCTTCAGGCGAGTGCTAGGTAGGTGGAAGGGGAAATAAATCGTTCCATGAGGTTGTGAAGTCACATTGATTGAGGTGGTTAGGACATGCATTACGTATGCCTGGCAATCTCCTTTGTCGATGGGCAATGTTAGTTGACATAGTATGTATCAGGCTGGAAAAGAGTTGACTTGTGGTGGGTAGTCAAACGGAAACCAACATGGCTTCATCTGTCACTGGAATCCATAACAGTTAGTTTAAGTCAGCCAATCAGCCAGCCACGTAGAGAGGTGTAGACTGGCCTCCTGGTTGGGGTCCTCGAGATGCTGAAAACCAATGAAGGCTGTTGACAATTGGTGATATGGCTGAAAAACGCTCTCAATGGCTGGCGCATAAGCATCCACTTCTTGTAATTTATACTATCCACTAAAGTTCTATTATTCTTCCATATTACTATTCTTTTCGCCTCTTATTTCTGTTTATCTTCTCCCTTTTGAATCTCTCTTTACTCTCTTCTCTTACTTTGTATGCTACAAGGAGTGAGGGTGAGAACTCGAACTGCAGCACATCTGTGCAAAGTTCTACCTTGAAACCAGTCAGTCAGTCAATAATGAGGTTATCTGTAGAGGAGAAAAAATAAATCAATGAATTTGTGAAGCTGCATCAACTGAGTTGGCTGGGATGCTTCTTATGAATCTTAGGGAATTATCTTCCTCATTGAGAGCAATGTAAGATGACATAAGATTGAGTTGAGAAGGAGTTAAGAGTGGCAAAACTAAAACATGCCATCATTTCATGAAGTCTTCGACTGTTTGTTCAAGTCAGTCTCATAGGCAGGTGTAGACTGCCTGAATGAGATCCACAATATGATAAGAACCAATGACTGGAGATTTTTGGAATCTTTGAAGACGGAATCGTTCTCACTCTACAATCACCTATATCCATTAAGTTTCCCGTTGCTCCATTATCTTTTATCCTTTTACTTATTATACTTTATTTGTATATTTATCTCTACCTTCATGTATACTTTTATGAAGTGTAGCAGTGTGAACTGATGCATTTTTGATGTAAATTTCTACGTTGAGGATTCACTTCAATTCATTAATGCAACTGAAGTGAAATTTACAAAATATTAAAAAATGTTTTATCCAATATGATCTAATGTTATATTTTTCCTGTGTGTGAGAATGTACTACACTCAGTACAAGGGAAAAGATCCGAATTTTAAACACTGAAATCAAATCACTCAGTATTTCTATGTAGTTTAGAGATTTAGCACCAATGTCATAAAATGCATTTCCAATATCTCGATGAAGACTTTTATCAACAGATAATTTCATTCGACGCCGAAATATCAGATGGGTAGTTGGCCGGAAAATATAGACAGCAATTATCTTTGACTGACGACAAATTACCCAACAAATATGCAGAAGGAAATGGAGATGGCTATTGAGTGATATCACCCACAAGGCCCTTGAATGGAACTCGAACAGGAGGCGATCAGTAAGGCATGCGTCACAGGTACACATTAGTGAAGATCGTGCGATGAAGAAATGAAGGCTTATGGTCAATAGTAGAGGTGGCTGAAGCAGACTGTAAGAAACAAAGTGAAACGACGATATGCTTCTTAAATCCTTTCTTCTAACAGGAACCTAAAGGACGAATGCATCATAATATGATGATCCAAGCTTACAGATCTTTTATTAAAAGAAAAAAAGGAAACTCATCAGAAAATGCTACAAAACAGAATAGAATCTTGTGTGTAGGTAGTGTATGGTAATGTGTATGTGTATGTGTGCATATAGGTGTGTTAACAAAATCACTTACCTGTAATTTATAGGCTAATTCAGACTCAGCACGAGCTGTATTCACTTCTTGATCAAAACTTGCTTTTTTCAGTTGAAATTCACGAGTTGAATTAGCAATATGCGTATCAGCTGCATAACGTACATCTAGACGTGAACGATCACAATCTGCTTCCTTTACAAATTTAAAAATAAATAAGAAAATTTACTTAATTTAGAAGAAAAGTATGTAGAGAAGAAATTTGACGACAACGAAAAGAAATCAAAACAATTTAAAAATCACCATGATTTCAAAATATCCAACATTTTATAAAATATACATAAATAATAAGTGTTACAGTATTGACTTTTGAGTTCCCAGGGGAACTAAAAACTTGAATTTTGAATTCTCAGTAGCGATGGTATTTTATTCTCATGGGCGTCTTCCAAAAGAATGGATATCCACAGAATTTCATCAAAAGACATATACCCCCAAGGAAACCTATCAAACCAAAAATCCCCAAAGAAATCACAAAGAAAATCGCCCTACCATATATAAAGGATATCTCAGAAATCACTACAAGACTCTTCAAACCTTTAGGAATTGACGTCGTACACAAACCAACAAAGTCGCTTCACTCAATTCTATGTCAACCAAAAGACTCAACAGCGAAAGAAGATAAAACCAACATCATCTACAAAATAAATTGTAACAACTGCGAAAAACACCACCTTGGCCAAAGTGGACGTCCCCTTCATCTTCGTATCCACGAACATAAGCTAGCCGTCAAAAGACATGACATCCACTCCCTCGCTCATATCACTACATTCAGACAACCACAGACATCATTCCGACTGGGACAACCAACGTTCAAATATTAGACAGGAAACAACAAGAATGCTAGAGAATTTTTAGAAGCTTGGCATTCCAGTGAATCATCAATCAATAGACACATCGAGATAGACAAAATTTATCAACCGATAAGAAAGAAACCTCACACACAAAGGGTCAAAGTTCAAGTCCAAGAAACAATTAGTTCCAATACAAGTAGCCTAGAAGGTGTGAAAACACACAAAATAAACCAATCACATCCAAGGTCACCAAGAGAGATGGTTAATAAACTCGTGGAGAAATCTAAAAGCTCACTTCAAATTGAAGTATGCGTTGCAGATGTAGGGCGATGAAAGCTTTGCAAATTAACCATCCAGCTCAGAGAACACAACCACATCAAAATGTTTTGCTTTTACCGGATGGGACTGTTAGCCTCATATCCAACCTTACCCCTTCACTTCACTAACTACTGATTAGGTGAAGTTTAGGAGAGCATCGGTTGGAGATCGAACACAGACTAATCATATGATTGGAGAGCATTCTATCATTGAAATACTGATGCACGCAGGTTGAGTTAGTCAGTTCAAAAATTGATGATTATAACAGAATGGTGATCCAGTTGGAAACATGTTTTCGTAGGTCAATAGGTACGTGCTTTGAAGTTAATAATTTTTAGGTTGATAGTTTCAACCTTGCCATGACCTAGATTTTCATTTTTAACCTTCACAATCATCACCTAGTCAACTGAATTCGAGTCTGTTGACACAGTCAACGTAAAACTTTATAGCTTCAATACTATGGTTATAAATTTGGTAAATTTCAACTTTGTACACTCGAGAGGTGTGGACCTAACAGTAACCTCAGAACAGGCAATTGAGCTAAAGAGCAGATATAAGCATCTAACCCTAAGCTATGTCTGATAAATCCTGATATCTTCCCAATTAGGTTAACCTAATCCTAACATGTCTTTAGCTTAAGCCAAGCCGGTAACAGTGAAGACCAGATACCAACTTCAGACGACCTTGAAACAGCCAATCAGATTCTTCTAGGTGAAAAGTGGTACACAATTTTTACAAAGAAGTGTACCTACGATAAATATGCAATAAAAATGGATCAAATAGGGTATATATCTCTAATATGCTGCAAAAACTGGCCCCCAGATTCTTATAGAAGTGGTTATAGAGATATCAAACCAATGTATTCTTTATTTCTCTAGGTGTAGCAGATACTGGTTGCATATACGCAATATATTACTAAGGAAGAGCTTTGACTTCGAAAAGTGTCTAAAAAATCTCCAATTATGTACGACTTACCAACTTTTACAGACTTTTTCAGAGTCATCATCCCTCCACATACGCATCCCTGTCAACACATTTTCCACAGAGAAGTCGAAAACCAAATCTAGGAGACATTTTCAAAGAGGATTTTGACTAGCAACCATTTATAATGCTGAGCTATCAGATTGGTCAAATCAAGGTCATTTGACTTTGGAGTCTATTGTTTACCCTTGCCATTTAACCTTAATCTTTCGCAAACCTAACCTAAAACTTAAGTTTATGTATAGTCATAGCCTCAGCATGTTAGGGTGGGAGAGCGTATCCCGATATGGTTAGGAAGACAAATGAATTGTGGAAAATCAATAGACGCAAGAGGTAGACTACCAACTTTATCTATAGCCAAACATCTAATCGAGATGAACCATAAGACTGATGTCAACACAGCCTTTAAGGTCATCTATGAAAATGGTCAAGGGCACTTATTGAAATACGCTGAGGCTATAGCTATTCATAGACTTAAGCCCCACCCCCTATATGTTCAAAAACAGTTTATTATTAATCTTAACCTACCGGGTAATCCTTATTTGATTGGATTACCAAATACTGTGTTAATTATTCTTAAATCCCTTTTGTCACTTTGTTTAATTTAATTGCCCTTTATTTCTTTAATATATACATCGACTTGGCAAGTAAATGTGTGATCAGACTGTTCGAAATGTGTAGCGCAAATACATCACATTTCCCAGATAATCTCCGTCTTTTAATAACACTATCCAAATTTACACATTTTTGAAAAGAATGGCCTGACGCAGAACACTGTCTAGCCACCTTTTAATTCGGATTACAGGATCTGTGGAGATATATGGGTTAATTTAATTTCACTTACTAGATTTCGTCATGAACCAACATCATTTGAAGAGATCATTGAAAAACAGGGGTTAATACACAGTTGTTTCGTCCTGTTCTGAGACTCTTCACCAGTGCTCACCCACTATCTAACCAACGATCGAATCCAAGACCTTCAGGTTACGAGATCGAATTCATTGACCATTCAGACACTTGGATTGAAATCCAATGAGACGTGAACTCTCCCTTTGTCAACTTGTGATATAGCGCTGCCCTCGCCAATGCCATTTCACTTTGGCATAAAGTGGATCCCACTGGTGGTCACAACTTCTGATCACTGCAGTTCCAGGAGGTCTATCCAGTAGCCATCAGTGAGGCACTGATTGATATTGGTATCCCTGTTTTTCAATGATCTCTCTAACTGATGTTGGTTCATGACGAAAATCTAATACCTTATATTCATTGGAGAACGATGATGTGGAATAGAAATGAAGGATTTTACTTCATTAGTCTTACAGATTACTTGGTTATGTGTTTCTCCATTCTTTACATTACTGAAGGCTTTAACCATTCTCATGTAGAAAAGCCAGATTTACTTAAGCATCAAAACATATTAGATAACAGGTGAAAAGAATGAATAAACGGTTAGTTAAGAAAATAATGCTAATACTTATAAGACCAAAATTACTAAAAAGTAGGAATAGTAGCAAAATACTGATAGTAGTTGAGCTTGAAATTATATCCAAGCGAGAAGAAGTGAATACCGTAAAGTTTGTTCTGTGATTATGCTTTTATGCTCTTTCCATTAACACTGAACCTTTTCCGAGCTTCCTTTTCTCTTATTGCGTAACCTTTAGTCTGAACTAATTAGTTTTAACTGCTTTGAAATATTTTTTGGTGATATGAACAATATTCCGAAATAATTTATTTATTCAAGTTTGATTAAGAACTGACTTTATTTAGAGAACGTTGAAAATTAGGGTACTGGACAGCAGTTTTCTTCCAATCTGGATCTCTTCAGCGTAATACACATACCGATGACCCTATACCGAGGATCGAACCATAGACCTACAAGCCTAAGTTTCGGCTTGCGGTCACGCTATGTATCGCAATTTTCTAGAAGTTAAAAATATATAAGCCATCGGATTTTGTCCCAGTGTAGTATGAAGATCTTGGATTCGATCTCCTGTAGGCTCATGGGTGTGTGCCGATGAAGAGTCGCGAACAGGGGAAGGTAAAACAGCTATCTAGTACTTCTTGGCTTTGAATAGTTCTCCAAATGAAGTCAGTTTGTGATCAAACTTGATTTCAAACAAATCTCTGAGAATCAATAATTGATAATTTATTTTTAAAAAATCTGTTTTGTTATGTTTGATAGATTGAATGTATACACACGTATACAAAAATTATTATATATGATTGCGACTGTACAGTTAAGTGAATGAATCCTCTTCTAGAGAATTTCTTTTAACACCCCTTCCCACACACCCCTGCAGAGGATAATGATGGTAGTTTTAAAGGCTTATTTTACTATAGAAGAAGAGTACAAAATGGCATGCTAAATAATTTCGCCTACAGTTTTAACATTTACTTATAAATGACAAAGCGAATCTTCTAACATTAATCGAATAAGTAGTCATAAGAAGCGATAAGTGTTCTGGAGTAGAAATATGTACGGTTGAGTATTCGTCAACTAACAAAGTGATCCGGATTCCATACCTTCCTTCCTTCTTAAATCTCACTTAGTTTACTAGCCAACAGTTAGCACAGGGAAGAAGAAAGCTTATATTGGCCGTCGAAAGTGCACACCTTCCAAACGCATCTCTGAATATTACCCGGTATGGGTAGCAAAGGGGCAATGCAAGACAGTAACTAGCTCAATTTTAGAGCACTTGGTAAACTCAAACCATGCAGCTCCACAATAATTGTCTTTTAAGATTATTTACAAGGTGGGATCAAATGGTACAAAGGGTGTCAGGTTTCGACATTTATGTATGGAGGAGGCGTTGGCAGTTCATCAATACAATCCCGAATTCTGTGTACAGTCTCTTATTCTACTATGGTCTTCACCTCTTCACTAACCGTTCTCTGTGAAAAAAAATTTTATTTCTTAATTTTAGTTTACTTTTACTTTAATAATTAGTGCACTATTATCACTGTCACTTGTTCCTTTTGTACATTTTGACACTCTCTTCACACTTGTTTACATGGACACTCAACTACCTTTATTCTCACTCAATA